GAGAAGAGAAGAGAAGAGAAGAGAAGAGAAGAGAAGAGAAGAGAAGAATACCATTTCAGACAAATGGCTGTTCATTTTCTTCTTAAAAACCTCCAGTGATGGAGCGCACACGATTTCTGGAGATAAGTTGTTCCATTGGTTAATTGTCTTCACTATTAGGAAGTTTTTCCTTAATTTCAGGCTGCTTCTCTCCTTGATTTATTTCCATCGATTGTTTCTTGTCCTGCCTTCTGGTGCTTTGGAGAATAATTTGACGCCCTCTTCTTTGTGGCAGCCCCTCCAATACTGGAATACTGCCATCCCGTCGCCCTTAATTCTTCTTTTCTTTAGACTAGACTAGATTTAGATTAGACTTTTCTTTAGACAGGCTTGTCCAACCCGCGGCCCATGGGCCGCATGCGGCCCAGGTCGCCTCGTAATGCGGCCCAGTGCCCACCCCAACCTTCATGCCAGAGCCAGTGAGGAGGAGGAGGAGAGGCAGGCGCGAGGTGGGGCGAGGAGAGCGCCAGGCCAAGCAGCAACAGAAAAGGCGGGCGCCGTCAGAGTGCCACCTCCTGCTGTTGCTGCTGCCGCTTCTGCCCCCGCTGCTGCTTCTGCCTTCCAGTCCTGCCTCATCCAGCCGGGCCATTTGCAAGAGGAGAGGTAGGCGCGAGGCGGGCAAGCTTTCCCCCCCCCCCCCCCGCCAAAATTTGGCCAGAAAATAAACCGTGATAAAAAAAACGTAATAAAAAATAGATAATTTTAAATAAATAATAAATAATAAAAACATCTCACTAGCTTCATTTCCAAATAAATTTAATATGTTAACTATGTTTTCTACGGGTTTTTTGGATGATCAGGTATCGTTACTGTTATTTTATTTTATGTGCGGCCCAAACCAAATTTTCATCTTCTAATGTGGCCCAGGGAAGGTGAAAGGTTGGACACCCCTGCTTTAGACAGGCCCAAATCCTGCAGCCATTCTTCATAAGTTTTAATCTCCGGGCCATCTTAGTTGCTCTCCTCTGAACTTTTTCCAAGGTCTCAGCATCTCCACAAAAAGAAACTGAGGTCTCTGCCAGATTTCAAGGTTGGAGGAGAGCATCGCTCCAGCGGCCTAGCGCTCCCCCCATTACTTTCTCATTCCAGCTCCTGACCTTTTCTTTTGGGCTTGGGTTCAACAGGTCCAACCCCCCTGGGTTCTTGCCCAGCCACTTCCCTGGCCTCCTCATCTGCAGGATGGCATATAAAGCCATGCCCTATCCAAGCGAGTTCAACCGTGGAGAATACTAGCGGGACCCTACGAGCAACCCGTAACTTAAATAAGAAAGCTTCATGGGTTTCCCTTCAGATTAATTACCAGGTTACAACCACTTGTTTAATGACCATTCGAAGTTACGATGCCACAGAAAAAAAAGTGACTTATGACCGTTTTCACTCTTGCAATCATCGCCGCGATCCTCGTGATCAAAATCCAGAGGCTTGGCAACTGGTTCATAGTTATGACGCTCGCCGTGTCCCCTTGGGGGTCACACCATCCCCTTTTGCGACCGGGAAGCCAGATTCACTTAACAACCGTGTTGCTAACTTAACAACTGCGGTGATTTACTTAACAAGCGTAGCCAGGAAAGCTGGTGAAATGGAGCAAAACTCACTTAACAACTGTCTCACTCAGCCATGGAAACGTTGGGCTCTATTGTGGAGTTGTAAGCTGAGGACTACCTGGATGGGATTCAGCTGAAAGCCTACTAAATCCTAGCCTGAACCTCTGCCAGACATTGATCTGACCCAGGCTTCGTCAAACTTAATCAAACGCAAACTGAGTTCAAAAGTAAAACCCTTTTTTTAATGCGACGTTGGGAATTACTTGCGTTCCCAGCCAAAACTCATTAGACACAGTTCCTCCAGACAAGAGCACGCTTTTCAGTGCTGTAGAATGCTGCCAAAAAACAGAAGTCCTGTTAAGGCTTAACATAAACCAACCCAAAAACCCAGAAAAAAACCAACCAGAGTACAGAGCTTCAAAACGGACTCGGAAATTACTGAACTGTTTTGCTTCCTGCAAAGTCTTCGTCATTGAGGGCTGACTTTTATCCCTTATGGGAGGGGCAATCCCCTCCGATACCTCTGCCATCCACACCGGCTGCCGGTGAATCACAACAGATGTAGGAAAAACACAGTCAAATTCACACACACACACACACACACACACACACACACGTGTCAGCCTTCCCAGACAGACTAAACCAGAAATACGAACAGACCAGCTAATTCTACTTGTATTGCAAAGCTACATCAGCAGATTCTTGCAAAGTCTGAAAGGACAAATCTCTCACTGTCTCTTTTTTTCAGCTTGAGGATGTTAGAGGGGGTCCTTTCTGAGTTTCTTTCTCTGCCCAACTGTGGGCACCTCCCCCTTACTGCACCTCCCCCTTACTGGATCATTCCCCAGGCAACATCCCTACCCCCTCCTCCGGTCCCAAGACCATTCCCAAACACCATTACACCCTGACTCTTCCTGATCCTTCTCTTCCTCCCTCCCCCTGATGACCTAGAACTGTCACGGCAAGAACGGAATCGTCCTTAACCAGCCATTTAAAATGCTTTGCTGACTGCAAAACGAGGAGCTGTGCAAAGCTTCCAGGACGGCAGCAGGATTTATCTTGCAACTGGTTAAACAGGGAGGCACGGAACGTGCGGTGTTCGTGTGTTTAAGGGGAATGAACAGGATCAGTTTATTCCAAATATGGAACGAAGTGTGCGAATTAAACAAGTGCGGTGGCAAAACGGGAGCAGTGCCGTGCAAGCAAAATTGCAAGGAAGGAAGGATGGTAGGGGAGTGAAGAAGGAGAATGTGCTGAGAAGATTGGGATGGGTGAGAGAGCAATTTCTCTGCCATGAAGCAGCATGGAATTAGGAAGAAAGATAATAGACAAATGGCATCTCCAATTCTTAAGCAATTCGATAGATTATGAGGACTACAAGCTCTTATTTAAAAAAAAAAATACTGTTTTTAAATTAACAGCAGAAAGCCCAGTAAGTATTCTTTCATTTCTGACATGCAATTCAACAATATTTTGGCCTTACACTCAACATTCAATGCCACTGGGCTATTCAAAACAAGAGAAGAGATCTATACGCAAAGTTACCTTTCTACTGCCATCGTTCTCCAGTTTTCCAAGAATCATGTCAAACTATCCGTGCAAGAGAAAACAAAAAAAACAGAATTAGGAAAGGTATACTGGTACTCCTATTATGAGCCACAGTGGCACAGTGGCTCATAATAAGAGTGCAGTACCGCAGGCTACTTCTGCTGACTGCCAGCGGACTGCAATTTGGCAGTTCGAATCCCACTAGGCTCAAGGTTGACTCGGCCTTCCATCCTTCCAAGGTTGATAAAATGAGGACCCAGATTGTTGGGGGCGACAGGCTTACTCTGTAAACCACTTAAGAGAGGGCTGTGAAGCACTGTGAAGCGGTATATAAATCGAAGTGCTCTTGCTCTTATGAATGATCCGGATTTTAATGGATACAGGTGACCCTCAACTTGCTGACCAATTGTTGAGCAACCGTTTGAGGTTACGACCAATCCCCCAAAAGTTACTTAAGACACAATTCCAAAATTACAGCTGCTCAAGCACCTTTGTTGTCATTTGCCTTTATGAGTGACCACAGGAACCCTGAAGCGGCCACACCCCACCAGGTATGAGCCATCTCCTCACACGTGTTCTAAATAGAGAATGGGGGAAAATGCACCATATGCATGACCCAAAGGTGCTTTTTTTCAAGAGGCAGCTGGACTTTCTGTTTTTTCTCTGAAGACGTTTT